GTAATCACACTTCTGTACAATGTAGTAGTAAAATGGGTTTAAAGTAAACATCAGGCTGCCAAGTATCACTGTGGGTAGCTGGTAACATAAGAGTTGTCCAGTCTAACTGTCTGGGTAAGTGATGTCAGAATTTCCCAGACAGTTGTGATCTGTCCCGACTGTGTGTAGGCCATATGCTTTTTTGTATCAGAGGATGCTGAAATTGTGGCATGGATTTTAAAATCAACACACACACAAAAAAGCCACACACTTGAAAGTATAGAGGAAATGCTAGTACCTGCTACCTACTGTATGTAATTTGGTGTCAAATATGTGGACACTGTCACACTTCTTAATAAAAGTCATCTAAAAATGTATTCAATATTAATATATTTCCAGGTGTCTGTATCTAAAGTAATTGTTTGCATGTTGATCTGCACACTGTGTTTTGTATGCGTGTGTTTCCACTCACTGCTGTTGACAGTCTGGATGCCAGTGTCATCTCCAGATTCCCCTTCAGCCCCACCAGGGCTGGCACCAAGATAAACACCTCAGAGATCTCTCTGAACACCTCCCAGTGCTGAAACACACCACAGTGGTTTTTAAAACCTTCTTAAATATAGCCCCAAAGGGACAGTTAGGCTAGTACCGTAATCCAGGTCTATTTATTTGTTTTGATAAAGTATAAAATGACAATGTACAGTAAAATCAATGTGAAAAAGGTCACTGGCACACAGCTAAGCAGCTAAAAGACTGATATTTAACACAAGACCATATGTAGAGAGTAAAAACATGGGTTAACGGAAAGTAAAAATTAGACTTATGTTCATCAGCCAGACACAATTCAATAATCCTTTATCACCTTAGGTCAGTTCCACCAGTTCTAGTCAGTTCCACTTCTTTGTGCTGCCCCAAGTGAGCAAATGATCAGTTATTGTGAGTTTGTAGAAATTTTAAAATACTGCTACTGTAACTGAGGTCAATGATTCTTATAACTCAGTCCAGTGCATATGTCAGTTTCATTGAGGAATCAGCCTTCAAAACACCAACCAGCACCCTCCAACTCCGTGGTTGTACAGAAACACAAAAGCCTCTGCCAAAGATCAAACAAGCACTCAAGCATATCCATTAATATCTGATCAAACCACACCCACACTATGCTGATGATGCAGATTACTGTAGCTGACAATTTGACTGGTACATAAACTCTTTAGGAATAATACACAGGGATGCTTTTACAAAGGTTTTATTTTAATTGTTGATTGTTTAGTCATTAATAATGTTACAATGTTACAGAGAAGAATGGGGCTTTAAAGGTGGATAAGAGGGGCTTGCTTTACTGTACATTTAAACATCATCTCTCACATGCAGCAGAGAATTAATTCATTCAGAATTATTTGACTTGTGGATGCTGGTTGATCTGTGCCTGCATACGAGCTACACAGCAGCCTCGTCATACTGCTGGTCAGACACTGACAAGAGGTTAGAGAGAGAGAGAGAGAACTGTTCTGTCTGACTCAGTGTATGATACTGCTGTCTGCCTCACTGCATCCTGCATGTCTGTCCCAGATATGTCTTCTGTACATAAGTAAATGCCAGGTATTATATTTCTTCTGCATTAGACAAAGAACAGCTGTCTAACTGTCCTTCACATGTAGTCATTCACTATTTGCCAAGAATTCCTCCATAGAAAATGTTTTGTTTTATGTTTCTCAAGTGGTCCTGTATTTGCCAAGAATTCCTCCATAGACAGTGTTTTGTTTTATGTTTCTCAAGTGGTCATGGTACTTCTTTCATGGACCTTTCCTTGGCAGGAAACATGACCAAGCTTCACCTGACATATATTATGTGTTTAGAATCAAATACACCTATCTAGCATAGTGCAAACAACAAATATCAGTAGGATCATGCATCATCTCATGCAGAAGATACTTTTTCCATACTTGCACAGCATCCATGACAATCCCAGCTGCCACCATGCTTAGGCCGGACACCAGGTATGGCAGCAGCACCTGGGCTGCAATGGTCCAGGAGCTGTCAGGCAGGAAGTTATGGGTCCAGCGAGACAGTTTGCATGTGAAGCCCTTCAGCTTCTTCCCCTGGAAATGCAACTCCAGTGCCAGATGGGTGACCACCATGGCTGACCCCTGTTAACCCATCCCTACCCAGAAAGTATTGGTAAGGAGGAGCAACTCTTCTGTCACTAAATCTATTCCCAAGGTTTATGTTCAGTCAAACTGATTTGAGAAGGATGTAATGCTCCATTTCAACTGAGGGAACACTAACTGAGCAAAAGAATATTTCCCTTTTTGATTGCTCCCAGGTTGTCTTCACCTTTCTCCAGGCTCCTGCAAGTCACTGGTGATGGTTCTTTGCTGAAAACTGTTTAAAGTAGCTTTGCAAGATTAAAAAAACTGGAAAAAGAAAAGTTTGTTTTGCCCTTCACCAGTGACTCCAACACTGGCAGGACAGCAACACAAAGCACTCAGAGGACGAGGCAGAGGAAGCTGCTTTCATCCACTTGATGGATCACACACACACACACACACACACACACACACACACACACACATGAAGACATGCACGCATGTACACATATGGGTCCACTTGACAGCAGGTCTGTGAGGCCTCTTCTGACACTCTGTTACTGACAGACCATCACACACACATACTGAAGAGTGAGGCATGGGAAATCATGCCTCACTCTTCAGCAGCCGGGCGGCAGAGGCAGACCGCTGGAATCCCAGTCTCTCACGGGGCCTGAAGAAGGTCCAGGTCCTATGGGACAAAGACATCCAGAAGGCCAGCAGCTTCTTCTCAGCCCTCCTGTGCTGCTGCTCTTTGTCCTCCTTCTCCTTCCACACTGCCCTCACTTTCTCCTCACTGCTGTGCTGATGCCCTCTGTGAGCTTGACTGCTCTGGAGTCCCTTCTTCATTTTGATCAGAGGGATGCTGGAATGTCTGTTCAGAATGCAAGCTGTCTGAGGGGGTACTGATGGACAGTGGGAAACTGGCAACTTGTCTGAAGAGGCACAGCGACTGTTGAACCACTACCAGGGCTTCCCTGTGGTTCCATACGATGAGTCGTGACAGCCCTCTGTAATGGAGGGAGGGGATAAGATGGACTGTGTGTATGTGTGAGGGGGGAGAATGATGCTGCAGATATGCGTGCATAAGCAAGGTGACCAGACCATATCAGCACTGTTCTTTCGTCAGCTTTCCTCTCTCTCCTGCTTTTTTTTCCAGGTCAGTTCAGAAGATACCGCAGTTGTGCCCTCCCCTCTTTGATAGCTCCTCCTTTCCCTCCTCTTTGGTGCCCTCATAAGTCAGTGACGCACTCTGAGTAGCAGCAGGTGCTGTGCCTATCACCAACGTGTGGTGCTGCTGCCTGGAAAGGACACAGTTTATCCTCCTTGACAGGGGCAACACACACAGGCTGCCAGTGTCACCCCCTGGACTTTTTCAGCCTGTCAGAAGTCATTACATCACTCATTTGAATGTTTTTGTCTTTCTGTCTTTTTATGTCATTGCTATTAAATATCACATAAATATTTGCCAAGACTAAAAATCTATAGCCTCAGCTGCTTTTGAGAAGTCAGTTCTGACTCTTTGTTCTAATGTCTGGACTCTCCCTCCTGCTCTGTTCATATTGCTGTATATACTGCTAACACATGGGAGCAACATAACCTTCTTACAGTTCTTACTAAGATCATGACCCCCAACATACACACACAAACAGGACAGTGACTCAGCTGAAAGGTGTCCTTGAGACATGACACTCTGCAGCTCCCCCCTTTGGACTTCTGGCAGTATTTGAGTTATGAAGCAACAGCTGCTAAAGACTGAGTAGTAAGTGGAGGTTTATGGTGTTTGTACATATAACTGAAGAGGTCAAGTCATCCCATGGAATCAGAAGAGTTTTCTCTTCATAAAGATCATCTTTGTCATATGTGCAATCAGTAATAAACACCACAGTCAGAAAGGCAGGATGAGAGGGGGTGGCCTCAAAGTTCCCAAGATTTTAGTAAGTTAACTATCTATTTATATTTATTGTGTTTAAATTCACATATTTGGCCTATTTTTATTGTTGGTCTGTGTGTTTGTTCTATTATGCATACTTGCATGCTACTTAAATTCACATGTAGCTGGACCAAACTGCCAAGGCCTGTCCTGTCTGTTTGTTCTCATGAAACAGGGTCACTTTATAGACCTATTAGGTCACTTTGACCTGCACTCCACCACCAGCTCACAGTCCAGTACCTTGACTTCAGAGAGACCTGAGCGACATTAAGCTCAGAGAAACAGAGACATGGATGGACAGATATGATGGAATAATTGCCTGACATGTTATTAGAAGCTGCATCCTAGTTAGATGGTAAGATAAAAGTCCTCCTACTGTAGTCTGGACCACATATCATCTGTGCCTGTATCACTGACCTGCACTTGGTCGAGCAGCATGCCAGCCGTCACCATGCCCAGCCCAGCCAGCAGGTATGTGGGCAGCACCTGGAGGCAGACCACCCTGGATGACTCTCTGGAGGAACTGTAGAGCTTCTCCTCCACCACGTTGTGAGGACAGTTACTGCTGGTGAGATCCATGTCTGGTCTGCATCGCTGCCAACTTTCTGTGCTCATTCAAAGCAAACCTCTGCCAACCAGATGAGTCCAGTATTGTTTGCCTTTCAACCCATCAACTTGTCAACCTGCACTTGTGTGTCTGATGTGTCTCTGACAAACGTTGTTATTCAGCTGATTATTGATAAAAATTTAGGATTCATTTGATGTAGTCCTATCAAATAAAATGTGATATGAATTAATCTGATCAAATTGAATCTAATATATGTTTTTATTAGTTTTATTAATATCAATATAAAAATAGGGAGGCGTGTCAAGGAATCAAAGGATAACAGTGACAAAAATCCCTTCTAACTGAACAAGACCAAGTCACACTGAATAACATCTAACAGGATTTAATTCACTTCTTTAGGTTTAACCAGCTGATATATTTACAGTAAAAGTACAAAAGGAAAAGAGAATTTCTGAAAGGGTAGCTGTAATATTTACTCTCTGATGAGGGGGTTGGAGGTTAAAATAAGGTAATGACGCATTCACATATCGACATTGCCCAAGGCACTGGACAGGGGAAGTTGGGAATCAAACTGTGTGTCGCAGGCCTCAGCTGACAAACTTTAGCCACAAGTCTTTTTCGTAGAAGTCTTTTTTTTAGTAGAACATTTTAATCTCTGGTGGTGTCGCCTAGGGACTACAGATGGAAATGAGCTTTTAGCTTCATCTGGTTAATGTGTTGTTCACTGTAAAGTAAAAATCTCATGTTACATTTTCAGTAAATTCCTTTTGATTTTAGGTTTTTTTTTACTCAACTAGGTAATTTGAGGATTACTTTTGCATCTACTTGATTACTTGTGTCAAACAGTAACAGTACTTTTACTTGGTTAAGTTTGTGTCTGCTCTACCCACCTCTGATCCTGCAATAAATGACACCAATGGGCTTACCTGAGTGGATGAGAACTAGGATGAAGGGAGAGTAACGTGATATTAAACATTGCTTCAGAGCAGATCCAGACTGCAGTCAGACCTGATCCACCATACAGGTATGTGTGAGAACTCCTCTTCCTGACTTACAGAAACAGCAGAGCCACTGTTAAGCTGTCTACAGACAACAGCTGCTGCCTTCAGGGACCAGTCAGATCCATCCACTGGTCTCCAGTCTCACATATTTCATAATTCAAATCATAAACTGGCATTTAAAGGGTTAAAATCCTGAGAATGATTGAATGCTTGGTAGTTTTGAGCAAGTCTGAAGTTGTTTAACCCTCCTGTTATGTTGACCTGAACAGTATCTTTGTAATATAAACATGCAGGGGGATGTTGCAAATATGTGAATTGAACCATTTTCATTTTATATGTTGATCACACCTATTACGCCAAGCAGACAAAGTTTCATACCAATAAAATATTTTTAACTATTTTTTTTAGATTTTTTTTGTTATATATATCATGAAGGTGATGAAAGGCTACACAATGCATAAATAGAGTATAAATGACATGTAAGAGTAAAAGACACTGGATTTCAAACATATAACACAGCCAAAATGATCAAAACAAATTTTGACAAAAAATGTACATTTTTGCCCGAGGAGGGCACAAAGGGCTAATGTGAAGAATTTTACAAAATCCAGTTTACTGTTATCTTTTCCTGCTTTCATCCTTTGATATGATGTGTGTGTGTGTTAATTTGAGGCATGGTTTTACTTTTTCATACAACCTTTTTTAAATATAAGGCACTGTATTTATTTGCATTTATTTTTCTAAAGAATATTTCTCTTTTGATACTGCACCTCTGGGCCACAGCACCTTTTTCTATATTACACAGGTCCAATGTTTGTATAAAAATGTAAATCAAAACAGCATGACACCAGCTTTAGTCCCATTTAATTTTGTAAACAGTTATGTCAGTAACTATAAAGAAGCATGAAAGAGAACAGAGGCAGTGCAACCACTATCTGCTAAAAATATTCACGCTACACCTCCCATCTCCAGTTAAGGTCTCATGTTATATGTCAAAGGTTGAGGTTAAACCTGTGGGGGCCACAGATTATAGTTTATTCTCCAGATCTAGTTGTCAGTGCAGTCACTGATGGTTTCGTAGGCAGACTGTGTTGTTTATTAAGTCTTCTTCCTAGATCATCTGCTGTTGGCAGCTAGTAGCAGCTTCATTCTTTTTTGCTCAAGATGCACTGTATGGCTTCCCAAGGAGTGTTACTAGCACGTGCTGGCCGAGACAGTCTCCTCTTATCTGTCATCAGTTGGGTTTAGCAACTTCCACACAGGTAACAAGGTCAATGCAAGAGCCCGGCTCAACAACAGGGCACCAGAAGTCTCTTCTATAAAGGTTTGGTCATTTAGCTTGCTGAAACATTTGCATTGCTTTACTGACAGTCTTGTTAAATAACTGTGATTGTATAGGGGTATTTTCATGCACAGTGTAAAAAACTAAATGATTAGGTCATGCATTGGTTGGTTTGTTTCCTAAGGTGATTTTATGTGATGAACATGGCGGGGGCTTGTGATAAATGGCAGCAGAGAGGTTCTGGTGAGAGGAATGTGACCCAGCTTCAGTTCATCAGTAGCTCCAGCAGCGTATCCACCGCTAAAACCACCACCATCCGTCTTCGAGACATTTATGATCCCCAGACTCAACCTCCCAAAGCCCCTGTCCAGATCCGGCCTCCTGGTCCAAGACTTCCCCCTTTAAAGGAACCTGTTTTAAAGCACAGCTTGTCCAGTGATCCGCCAGCCAAGGCGATCATGAGGAGACGGACCCAGTCTCTTCCTTCGTCCAGAGAGAGGATGAAAGCACTTAGGAGCCCACAGGTACGCTTCGTGGACTCACTGGGCCTGGCATTAGAACAAGTTAAGGTCTTCAAAGTTCAAGATCACCCCCTGATACCACAACATGTTATGTTCAGGCTGCTGATGAGCTCTGAACTGGCTTTTGGGAAGACATTAGAACTATCCCTCCCTTACTTCAAACCTTGTTTCCCTGAAAATATGGGAGCTCAGCCAGACTTTCTGAGGCGTCTCTGCACTCAGTGTGTGTGTCTGGAGCAGGTCCTGTGCTCAGAACATGGGATAACAGGCACTGTACAGGTACTTAATATAGCTTATGAGAAGGAGGTCACAGTGCACTACTCTTTCACCAACTGGAAAACATACACAGATGCAAAGGCATCATGGGTTTCACGTGGGCACCAGGGAGAGTGTAACGCTCCTAATACAGATGTCTTCAGATTTTATCTGCCAGTCCCACCCTTTATTTTGCAGCCAGGATCTGTTTTGGAATTTGCCATCTGCTACCACGTAAAAGGATCTGATTACTGGGACAACAACAACAGGAAAAATTATAAACTGTCATGCCACAGCTACAAAGTGACTGTGCCAAGAGAGTGTGAGGATAGCATGCTGCATTTTACCTGAGTGTCCACATGGGGGGAGCTGTGATGCCTGCACAAAGATGTGGGTGAAAAACTAACATTACAGTAATTATCTATGTTTCCCTTACCTTATTATAAGTAGTGGTGGAATATACAGTAAGCAATTAAGTTTATTCAAGTACTCTACTTAGAACACTTTTGATCTTCTTGTACTTAAGTGTTTCCATGTTTTACTGTATTTCTACTTGTTTTAGAGGCAATTATTGTACTTTTACTCCACTAAATGTATCTGACAGCTGTTTGGATTCAAATAATACATGCAATACATATACACATAAATGAAGTATTACCCTAAACAACCCAACAATATTATGAAGTATTGCAGTTAAATTAGGTCCACTTCAACCAGCTTCAACCTTAAATGCTAACATGCATCGGTAATAATAATCAAATAAAATTCATTCATTCATTTTCTACCGCTTTGTTCCTGAACGGGGTCACGGAGCCAATCCCGGCCGGCAATCGGGCAAAGGCGGGGTACACCCTGGACAGGTCGCCAATCCATCACAGGGCTAACACATAGACAAACAACCACACACACACACTCCAATGGGCAATTTAGAGACACCAATCAACCTAAGCTGCATGTCTTTGGACTGTGGGAGGAAGCCGGAGTACCCAGAGAGAACCCACGCAGGCACAGGGAGAACATGCAAACTCCACACAGAAAGCTCCCGGGTGGGGTCCGAACCCAGAACCTTTTTGCTGTGAGGCAACGGTGCTAACCACTGTGCCGCCCATCAAATAATATAATGTGTAATAATATAAGGCTGACCTGCTGCAAAATGCATATTTTTACTTTTATTACCTCAGTGGCATTGTGGTGCTAAAGATTTTGCACTTTTGCTGAGTAAAACTTTGAATGAATGAAGAACTCAAGTTTAAATTCTGAAGCGAAAGATTTTGGAAACACTGGAGGAGGCAAAGCCTTAAGTTTAAAGAAGTAAATCCATCAGAAACATTCTGATGTTTTAGCTATTTTAATTCTAAAAGTCATCAAAAATACTTTTTGTTGATATTTCCAGTTTTAAAAAATACATCTGCAAGAAAAAAAGACAAATGAATACAAAGTTAAAACAGGTGCTAATAGATTCATGTATAGTTTCATAAGATACTGACACTGTAGGTAGAGTGATACTCCAGCATCTGGTCCTAGCTGCACCACATGATGTAGTTCCCCCTAAAGAGCTACACCATCAGTTTAGTTCTACACTTCCATAAAGCTGGAGGACCCTCAAGAGGCAGATGCAAAAAGAACAGCACAGATGAGATGTTCTGACCAAAAATGCAGAATCCTGTATTTCTCAATATCCAATTCGATTGTGTCTTGCATTAACCACCCAGCTCCAGCCTATTATAAGGCTTTCTGCTGAAAATTTGAATTCTCAAGCCTGAGCAGAGCTAGTCCCAGTGACAACACCTCAACAATGAATAAATTGAACTTTATGTCTAAAATTAGGGCCTCTTTAAATTATTCTTCCCTGGAACTACTTGTGTGTTCCTGCTGGGCCTTTATATGTACAGGCCTGCTAAAGAATCTGCTCACTTTGCACTTCAGCAAGTCTGATGGCCCAGTTTAATGACTGAGTGTCTGAGTTAGACAAAATACTGGTATCCCTTAGCACAGAATTTGCACAGGGTGTCAAATCTGTAGTCCATGCAAATGGGGATAAACTAATGATCTGTTTGCAACCTAAGCAGCTTGTTTACTTTCTGCTATGACCAACAAGGCCTGACCTCATTCTTTTGGAACTTGTTTTGTTTTAGAAAGTGGATCACAGGGAGCAGTGTTAGCTCCCTTTGACAGTCCTGACCTTTCACCAAGAATTTTCCACTGACACGAGAGCCCGGAACTTTCTGGTAGGCTGTGACGTTAGGCTCGTAGGAGGGTTTTCTTCCATCTGCATGAGCCACAGCAGCTGTATGACATCTTTTAAACATGATAGCAGCCATCTGAACATCCAAAACCTTACTCAACATCAAGCCTTTTACAAATCACTCATCAGTCAGAGAAAATGGAAATAAGGGCACAGTCTGTGATTCAAATGATTCAAAAACAAGAGGTTTGCCCAAGCACCAAACAAGAAATGCAAGATGTAAACCTGCTGTAACTCTGGCAAACAGATCATTAGCACTAGACAACAATCGATTTTGTTCACAACAACACCTACACCGTGCGCTGGAAAACTGTGTCATTACCTAAATGTGCATGTACATGAGTGACGTGAAATGACAAAAGTCTTCAGCCACGCTTCAGGAATGCTGGTGATGTCAGGTGTAATTTTGGCAGTAGATGGCGCCATTGCTTAACTCAAAGACTGCATGGTTCATTTAAAATCTAGTAAGGAATATTTGGTTTCACCTTTTTATTTCCAGTGATGGAAATATTTAGTTGCTATAATTAAGTAAAAGAAGCCATGCAGCAATGTAAAACATGTTACAACCAAAAGTCCTTCATACAAAATCAATAATAGGAATAGAATTGCTGTCAACACTATTAGGTATCATATTACGCTAATTCAAGCTGTAGCACTGCTAAATAACTAGTAACTGTAACTGTCAAATGCATGTAGCTGAGTAACAAGGTACAATATTTCTCTCTGAAATGTAGTGGAGTATACCTAAGTATATTAAAAACTGTAAAGTGCTGTATGTGATTTAATGTATTTAGTTACATTTTTCTAACTGGCCTTCTTTACTTAAATATCTTTTATTTTCAAAATGTTCCCATCTATTTTTTACCTTATCAATGCACATTGGGTGTAATAGTCCTTTTAAGTGCTTCCATTGCAGTGATGTATAGGTGACAACATCATCTGTTATGCACTATTATAAATACTAGTAAATAATCAATAATAAATAAATAATAATCATCAGACCATTGCCCGTGGTAGAAGGCGTATTCACACATATCCTTTGCTTAAGTGAAAGTAGAAATAACACAGTTTAAAAATACTGTGCTACAAGTAAAAGTCCAGCATGTCAAAATTGGATTTTACTTACTTAACATTCTACAGTTGCACTCCCCAAAGAAACGTGCACTGTGGTCTGAGCCCTCAGAGGGTGTTTATAACCTGGCAACCCTCAGCTGTTGTCTGCTCTTGGCCTCTGTAGGTTGCTTGTAATAACTGAATTCATAGACAATGACTTACTGTAGCAGTTATTATGAGGCATGTACACAATAGTGAAGTGCAAACAGTCACAACAGCTGTAGTGTTGTGAGGACTGAGCACGTCCTCTGTTCTCACAATCATCTAAACCTTTGACAGCTGAAACAAAAACAAATATCCCCTCTCGGTCCTTCAGGGCTGCGTGGCGCTGGTTTGTATGGATGCTCTTCACTAACAGTCTTAGCTGTCATGAAGGGGCACACATCCATGTAGCCTCGCAGCACTGTGCCTTTATTTGGGACTGTCATCTTGTGCTTGTTGCCGGTAGTTATATAAGAAGACACCATATTAGGAGCCAACAGGATGCTCAGTAGTGACGTTTGCTCCAGAGACTGCCTGGGACTGAAATATACAAATTCATCATTATGAGCCACATCATTAAAAGACGATTATGGCCTGTATGTTTTGAAATAAATGAACTGGGTCACTTGTAATATTTATTCATTGTTAGTCTCAAGCATAAGACAGATTTCTTCATATGAATATTTATTTCATATGAATATTTGTTGTGATAAAATATAATGTGTGGTTCAGAATAAGTGTTTCTGTTTTCTTTGTTCAGTGTGTGTGGTTACCTTTGGCCTTCACCCAACTGAGGGACACCCAGGAGTCAGGATATCCCCCTCACCTTTAGGAGACAATCCCTTGCTCCTCCCATGCACCTTAAAAAACTCCCAGGGCTGTTTTGCACTGGACTGGCCACTATTTGCCACCACAGCCACTTGTGTCACTACTCCAGGCAGCAAGCAGTCCTGGAAAGCAATGCAGTTTAAAGTGGAGCTGCCATCTGTTCCTCCACCGGAGCAGAGGCCATGTCTCACATAACATGCATGTTGATGTAAAAGAGGAAGCCAAAATCTGCACTGCCAATCTGAACGGGCTTGACAGACCAGGGCTGTTCAATGGTTTTTAAATTTAAATATTAGGTCAATGGACTTGTACTTTTATTGAACCTTTCTATGCACCCATTCACAGACACACTCCCACAGATGGAAGCAAATCATTCACACACACTGAGAGCAACTTGGGGGCTCAGTGTCTTGCCCAAGGACACATGTCACTAAGCCACACACAATGGCTCGCTTCTCTTGTTCTTGTTCCTCTGCCAGTGTGACGCAGGAGCACAAACAGTTTTTCAACAGCTCTCTCTAAACTGAACAAATGCAGTCAGGTGAACTAAGTAGCCTGCTTAACAGTGTGCACTCGGAGTTAAAGCCCTACAGATGCACACAAGGAGAAGAAATAGGTCACTGCCTGCACTTTGTAAACCAACTGCTGCTTGATCTGATGCAACAGTGTGAGTTTCACTACACTTCACTTTATTACCTGCTTACTAAAGCACAAAAATGATAAAACTGAAGGGATTACAACCCATTTATGAAGCGCAGTCAGTAATTATTATCCTGACTCTGACACTTCTAACTCATTTTTTCAGCCACATTTCCTTTATGCCATGACAATAATAATACTATGATTAGAAAAACACACCAAACACACATTATACAGGAGACAAAACAAAGTTAGTTACGAATTAAAAACCTGTATTGTGCAGACAATAAATAGCGCTTACAAAGAGATTTTGTCTTGTACACAGACAAGGTTTCTGTTTAAGAACATTTACACTGTCAATATGAAACTCATCATCAACTGAATCAGAGACTCAGACACAGTTCGGGGATGTGACTACTGATACTGGAATGGGACTGGTCGACTCAGTCACATGCACATTTCCCCCCGTGGCATCAAAAACAACATCTTTCCCAAAAAAAGGTCTGTTTACAAAAGGAAGTCTCTGGTTGTCTATGGCGAACAC